AGAGTCGAAGGCTTTGCTGAAATCAAGTAGAACCAAAATAGTGAGACGACGATTATCACAGGCAAGTCTTATATCATCCGTGATCTTGATCAAGGAAGTAGTAGTACTACGACCCCGTCGGAAACCAGACTGTTTGTCACTAATCAATCGATGCTTCTCAAGAAAATCATAAACCTGGGTATACACAATACGCTCAAGAACCTTTGACAAAAGAGAAAGTATTGAAATAGGACGATAGTCGCTAGCCAAAACTGGAGTTTTCAATTTGGGAATGGGAACAACCTGAGCATGTTTCCATATAGATGGAAAAGAGGATGATTCAAAAGAAAAGTTAAAAATATGATTCAGCGGAGGCAGAACAGCATCTAGTATTGGCAAGATCTGTTTTAGACAGATAAAGTCAGCACCAGAGCACGTAGAGCGGGTTTGAGTGAGAGCCTCACGAACAACCTCCGAGTCAACCATAGTCAATGAAAAACTACGTGCATCATCCACGCTCCCATTCTCTGATGCACAAATGGTTTGAATTAAGGTAGCCTTCTGAGTAGCGTCAAGCGTTACCGGCGGTTCGGCAAAATAGCTGGCCAACAAGTTAGGATCCGGAGTGGATTGCGTGAGTTTGCTGTCAGTGACGCCAAGAGATCGCAAGGTCTTCCAAAATGTAGTTGGTGTCGACACAGATAATTTCCAATAAAAATATTTTTTTTTAGCATTTTTGCATTTGTGATTGCACCTATTACGCAAAGAACGATAGCAGTCGTAGTTATCAACTGACGGGTTACGTCTGTACAACGTTTTTGCTCTATTACGTTCGCTCATGAGACCCCTAATATCATTAGTTAACCAAGGGGCAGGAAAATGTTTCACTCTCCTTTGCTTTACCGGAGCATGTTTGTCATACAAACATGTTACTTTATTATTAAAATAGTTAACCTTCGCGTCAATGTCCGTCATAAGATATAACGGTTTCCAGTCTATCCTCAGCGCATCAGAGTTGAGTTGTTGATAGTCAACATGTTTGAAATCACGGTAAGATAGATTACGCTGAGGACAAACTACATTTCGGACTTGGACAGCGCAATAAATAAGATCATGGTTGGAGAATTGCAGAGCAGGTAGTTGACCGTGAACAAGAATCTTATCGGTGCAAGACGAGATGATCAAGTCAAGCAGAGAGTCGGACGAAGGAAGGTGATGGGTTGGTTGAGAAGGGATGATAGATAGATTTGAGGAAGAAGTGACAAATCGAAGTTTATCACTACGCAGGTCATCTCTCAATGTACACGTATTGAAATCGCCCATTAATACTATGGTGTCATAGCACATACTATGTCTTTCAAGGAGATCCTCAAATTGCTCAAAGTAATTCATCATTGGGGGACAATAAAAAACACCCAATAGTAGCTTAGCATTAACACTTAACCTCAATCAAAAGGAATTCCATTGCTCGCGAAGATCCATCGGACAATTCAATAAAGTCAACCTGTAGTTGATCTTTTAGAAGACGATAGCTGAATGTAGGGAAGGCTTGAGCCAGGTTTCACTCACTAAGATTTTTATTTATTACACAGAATTAAAGATTAAAGTTTAAGCTTTAATTTAAGATAAAAGTCGTTTCTTAATTCGCAGAAATAAAGTTGCTATGATTTTTTTAAAGTATAGACATTTTTTCTTGAATAATTAAGCATTGATATTTTGCAATTTTACAAACTTTATAATCAAACGTATTACTTAATGTTTAAACGTCAATTTAAAATAAAAGTTGTTTCTTAATTCTCAGAATTAAAGTTGATATGAATTTTGAATCCTATGAGGAGTAATTTGACAAGATTGAACCTCGGTACAATAGATGTCACTCGCTGATTTTTTTTAATTCATTTATATTTAGATTTTGATCAAACTAAAACATAATTAAAAAAGATTTTATTAAAGCTAAAACTAGATTTTTTTATTCAATATTTTACAATAAATTTGAGTTGATATAAAAATAAAATTTAACGACGACATCTAGTTTTTAGCACTGCAACTAACATAAACGTCTTATTTACGCAATAATTAACACTAAAACAGTTATTTAACACTTAACATATCTTTTTAAACGATAAAAAAACTTATTTAACGAATCAAAAATAAATAAACGCAATATTAAGTGTTATCGTTTTCATTTTTTAATCACTCGATGGTTCCCATTCTTCCTCAGAATCGCTTTTTCCATTTTCTTCGTTTTCATCGAATTCTTCTTCAATCGGGGCCGGTTTCACAATTTGATTAGCCGATTTTTGATGAAATACAAACGAAATATACTTTGAGACATCCCAAACTTGTTTTAAAACCTATTTAATTAAAAAAATTAATCAGTTAAAAAAGTCAAAATAAATTGACACAATTAATTATAAAAAGTCATTGCACAAAAGTGAAGTTAGCTGACATAATGGTTTGACAACCAAACATAACCTAAGTAACTTACGATATCGGCTAATCCTTTCTTATCCCAACAATGATACCAATTCGCAACATCCGAGGTGCAATCTGCTTCTTCTGGTGGATTCCTCGTCTGTATCCGATTAATACACCGTTGACATTTCAATTTTTTATGCGTATCCGAGTCCGTCTCCTCCAACTTAAACAATTCCCGCAACTCCGACGCGGTGAAATGCCTCAAAGTATCCTCGTTATTATCGACAACCGTCGAGCTAAGCGCTTTTTTATGCGCTTGCCGTTGGAATATTTTCTCCTCAATACTCCCCGTCGCTAAAAACCGATAAATATAACACGGCTTTTTTTGTCCATCCCTCCAAACTCGAGCCATCGCTTGATCGTCGTTCGCGGGGTTCCAATCGGGGTCGAACATCACCAAGCGATTCGCCCCGATTAAATTTAACCCACACCCGCCCGCTTTTGAGCTGAGCATAAAAATCCACTCTTCAGAGTCGGGGTTGTTAAATCTCTCCACGATTTTTGCGCGTTTTTTGATGGTCATCGTTCCATCGAGACGAACGTATTTGTAAGCGCGTTTTCGGGATAATTTTTCGAATAAATCCAACGTTTGAGTATAATTCGAAACTAACACGATTTTATCGTTGTAATTAGCCTTTAAATTAGCTAATAAGCAATCTAAAAGGAATACTTTTCCTGATAATTCAGATCGGACATCATCGTCTTTCTTTTTTGCCGGTAAAAGAGAAATTGATTTTTCAAATCCCTTTTCGCCATCAAGGATTTTATCGAGGATTAAATCGGGGTGATTACATAATTTTTTTAGGTTGGTGATGCTGGATAACGCGCTTGAAAACGGGGTTTTCACCGCTTTTTCAATGTTACCGTTATGGACGGATGATTTAATTTCTTCAGAATTAATATAGTTCAAATAAAGTTGTTTTTGTAGCGGGGTTAATCGACAACAAATTATCATTTCGAATTTAACCGGGAGATATTTTGTTAATAATATACTCGTACGGCGAATTAAGCATTTATTTACGATGGCTGATAATTCTTGTAAACATTCTTGGGCTTGGTTGCGCTCTTTTTCTGTCGCCATCGAATCTTGGCCTATAAAAAAAATATTATTTAATAACACATCAATTAAGATAAAATCTTTTAAACAAAAAAATCTTTGCGTAAATTGTCGACTTGTTAAAAAGTCATCATCAACCGAATCTGAAAAAAATGTATATTTTTTTGCCGACTTTACGTTTCACGTCGACATTCACATTCGCGTTATAGAGGCAGTATAAGCCTCTATATACGCCTCTCACAATCAGTCGCAAACGGCGTTCGCTTACTCGAAAGAAACAGTGGTTTAAGGAACTAAGGCTTGCGGCCAGGATACTGTAATATGTTGCTTAGCTTCTATTTCGTGGTTAGTATTGTGATGCCTCGGCTTACTCAAGAGAAACAATCACGTGCTGCACCACAGTTATTACACCATTCTAAATCTAAATAACATATAACAATGCCTCGACTGCAGGCGGCCTTGGCTTAATGATATGAAACAATGGAATTAAGGAACTAAGCCGAGATCCCTTGCGGACGAGGCATTACAATTAAAATCATATCAACGCAAGGCTGGTGTCAAACAACATTTTGCCTCGACTTGATTACTTGAACCACGGTTTTTCTTGAGTAAGTCTGTGCCTCACATTATGTTGTTGGGTTATATTTTTTACCAAGAATGGGATGTTTCTTTGATAGAACATAACAACTGAGTGGTGTTTTATTATATTTACATTGTTATTCAACCTACTTCGCTTTTGTTTATACAACTAAAAGTCAAACTTAACATACCCCAGTAAACAAAAACAAAGTTTTACAGACAATAACTTAAATTCTAACAACTAGTTTATCTCTAAATCCCTCAAATTTAACCCTTTCTAATAGCTTACATTACATTACATAGAATACATATCGGGTAGGCGGACCAACCAACCTTGCACCGCGACCCTAAGGATCTATTGTACCCCGATAGATATCGTTATCAAATTTCACCGTGCAGTCCAATGCTCTTAACGAACATTAATACCTTGCTCGGCGAAAGGTCATTCAGATCTTTTGAGGAGATAAACTGCGACCCAAAAATCGAGAATCTGATACGGTTAACGGCAGGGCAGTGGCATAAAACATGCTCAACCGTCTCTGCTTCCTCCGCACATAGTCGGCATTCAACATCGTCGGCTAAACCCAACAAGTTGAGGTGTGCTTTTAATCGGCAGTGCCCAGTAAAAACACCCATTAGAACTTTTATGCTACTACGGGCAAGTCCTAAAATATTCCCGGGTTTGACAGTGGCGATGTTAATAAACACCTTAGCATGTCTCATTCCAGGAGAACTGGTCCACAGTAGGCGAAGTCTCTCTTCAGCCCACAGTCCAATCCTATATTTGGCCATCGCAAATGATACACCAACTGCTGGTTCCGGTCCCACAAACGCTTCAGCGCTGCCATCTCGTGCTAGCTTATCTGCCGCTTCATTGCCAGCAACCCCAGAGTGACCCGGGACCCAGATCAGAGAGACTCTGTTATCACAACTCAGTGTGTTTAATGTTCTCTTACAATCATTAACCAGAGCCGACACCGTTTTCACGGCTTGCAGCGCCTGGAGAGCGGCTTGACTGTCTGAGAAAATTCGTACTGTCATGTTCTTCACCCCTCTTTCAAGAAGGATTTTAGCACCCATGTCAATAGCAAATACTTCCGCCTGGAATACAGTACAGTACGTACCCAGGCTGTAGGCTTGCTTAATTCGAGGTGTCTGGCAGTATACTCCTGCTCCTACCCCTTCAGGCGTTTTTGATCCATCTGTGTACAAGCAAATGTCTGCCCGAACCAGAGAATTTTCATTTTCGATCCAGGACTGCCGCTCAGGCAGTACAATCTGGTATCGAGCATTAATCACTGATAGTGATACCGCCAAATCTGACGGCATTGATAGCACAGTATCAGTGCTTATAATGTCTTCCGCAGCCCATTGGTAGGACATGTCGGAACAGTTTTGAGCATATTGCTTAAATCTGTAAATGGTTGTTCTAGCCACTTTCTCTATATGCAAATGCAGAGGAGATAGGCCAAGCAGAACCTCCATTGCTAGAGTTGGCGTTGTGCCTATCGCACCAGAGATTGCCAATCCAGCTACTCGTTGAATTCGTGAAAGTTTACTGATAACTGAAGTCTGTCGGACTTTCCTATACCAGGCTGCTGCTCCGTATGTGATCATAGGTCTAACCACAGTCACATAGAGCCAGTACAGTCTTTCAGGGGTAAGACCCCAATTTTTTCCACAAAGACTGCGACAAGTCCACAAGGATAGTCTAGCTTTGTGCAAAACTCCCTGCAAATGTCCATTCCATGACAGGGTTTTGTCTAGGATTACTCCTAGATATTTGACTTCCTTTGAGAAAGGAATTTCTTCACCTTGGATAGTTGGGCGGATTAGTCCATCCAACTTTCGCTTCCAGGTGAAGGGCACAACAATTGTCTTTTGCGGGTTTATTGAGAGGTTCTCTCCCTTACACCAAGCGCAAATGGTATCTAGGGTCACCCTTCTAATAGCTTAGTAAAAAAAACTGCTAAATTGTCTTCACTATTACAATGGATCCATTTCAAGGAAATTGTATACCGATTGGTAACTTTAATTTTAGGAGATACACCCAACACGGAGATACTCTTTAACTTGCCGGCTGTTGTGAGCCGGGCAACCAACTTGTTGGAACCAGATACATCCAAATTGAACATTGTCTAATTGTTGAAGCGATGGGATTACGTCATTTTGCAAAATGTTTAAATACTTATGACCATTTAAATTTCCTTCTATGAAAAAAGGACCGATAATGTGGTCACCTACTAAGCCAGCCCAAACATTTAATTTTTGGGGATATTGTGTACTAGCCGCATAAACTTTGTGTTCATTGTCACGACTCCAATATCGAGCAACGCTGGGATTATGCCGACCATGCAAAGGAAATGTAAATTCATCGGTAAATAAAATGTTTTTTATAAAATCAACATTTCCGTTGGCCATTTCCATCATAGTAAAGCAAAATTCCGCCCTTGTAATATTATCGTTCTCGCAGAGTTCCTGACTTTTAACTGTTAACTGCAAAGCGATGCGACCAACTTCGCCTCTCAACAATCTATGAACGATTCAATTTGTGCATTACCCCTACGCTTGTTTATCCCCCACTTAACGACACCGAATATACACACACACACACGTATACTTATATGTACGTCCGTGTTGGGTATATCTCCTAAAATTAAAGTTACCGATCGCTATATAGAAGCCGCATCGCCTATGTTCGCCCGTATACCGGTTTGAAGCCAACGTAAGAGCATTTGTTTGGAAAGAAAATTGACCTTGGTCCTAGCGACAGTGGCGTATACGATTTAGATGAAATTGGTCAGACTTTATCCAGTGGCGTATCCAAAGAGCATTCTAATCTCTTATATAAAATTACAATTAAAAATTGATTGTTAAACTAAACTACTAATTGAAAAATTATTGTCGTAACGCCTTTATAAATTGTAAAATGCATTTTTTTCTATATCTTTGTTAAGTTTTAATAAGACTTGAAAGTGTTAAATACAATAAATATGATGTAATCATTTAAATTAATCAGAGGACGTAGAAACAACTTGAAGAGTAGTACTACGTAGAACAACTTGGTAAATGATTCAAGTATGTATGTAGTATTTTGATTGATAAGTTTTATATCTAACTAAAAGTACTAGTATACTCTACATACAAATTATTTACAAAGAAAATATAAATAAATAAAAATGAAGAAAAACGAATCATTTATTGATTCGCAAATAGGTTTATTTATTTTAGTGACATGCCTTACTCTAGGGGCAATAATATTCGGGAAAGTTCGGCGATAATCGGCCGCTGGTCCGATCTGTGCACGTTCATTGTTTCAACTGGTTTCGACAAAGGTTGTTAGTAAACAAACCGCGTGTTGCGTTGGCTTCAAGTTTTAGTGTTTACAACAACTGCTTCTATATATACAATTTCTTTGATCCATTTAATTCGTTTTGACTTTAAGATTCCATTATTGATCAAGTCTATAGCACTTTTATTGTCTATCAGCATTGTTGTTTGTATTTCTTCTTGTCACGTCACATCTGTTAGTATTTTTAACATATCTAGTAACAAAGTTTACAGTGAAACTTATGTCTGGTCTGGTTTTGTTAGTTAAGTATAAGTAAACTGCCTACTGCTTCTTGATATGGAAAATCTTTGTTTATCTATTGATTATCACTTCGTTTTACATCACTTAGGCCCATTTTTACCACCTCTTGATAAATTTATCCGATTGATAAATTGGCCCTCTTAGCCAATGAGAGTGCTTAAAACCGCTGTAACCATGGTAATTATCTATCAGTTAAATTTATCTTAAATTTATCTCTTGATAAATTTATCCGATAGATAATTACCATGGTTACAGCTGTTTTAAGCGCTCTCATTGGCTAAGAGAGCCAATTTATCTATCGGTTAAATTTATCAAGAGGTGGTAAAAGTGGGCCTTAGACTGACTTAATGGTATTTTAGTTTTTTTTACTGTAGTCAATTTAAAATTTTTCAAGCACTTAGTTTACATTGTCCTTTTGATAAAGTTTTAACGAGTCTTTATTTAATTTTGTTTTGTCCAAGAAATTATCCACACTTTCATTTTAAAATAGTTTTTCAGTTGATTATAAAATTGTCGTGTTTGTTTTTATCTTTCGATATAATTAATAAGTCCATCGTCTACGTATATGGCTAATAAAATTGTTGTATCCTCATTTTTAAATACACACTGTTCCGTTTTCAGCTGTTTCCATCCGATACTTTCTAAAGCATCAGTAAATGTCTTGTTCCATCTTTCGAGTGCTTGTCTTAATCCATACAGCGCCTTTTTCAATTTACAGACATGTCCTTCTAACTTGATATACGAGTATAGAGGTGTCCCGTATTTTCCGCATCAGAGCATTATACGGTTGAATACATTATTCTGTAGCGATTTTTCTAATTAATATTAATAATTAGTAATAATAATTTAATAATATTATTTAAAGTCGTCTAATAGCGATTCACTTCAATAGCGGAAAAAGTTTATTTCTCTTTCCGTGTCGAATCTATTGGTGAGTACACGTAAGAAACGTGTTATAAACGGCGCGGCGGACCGGCCGCAAGTGGAGCCGATTGCCTGAGACTGATTTACGATCTCCTATTGAACGACTTTAAACAGTTTCCGAGCGGTTACTATAAACATTTCGGAAAAATTTTATAGGAAAAATCGCTTCACAATAATGTATCCTTCAACCGTATAATACTCTGATGCGGAAGATACGGGACACGCTGTATATATCTTCTTCCAGTTCGCCGGTTTTATATCAAATTTTGTGATTTTACATGACTCTGCATCTGCTGTTGTTAATATTGCTCTAATACTGCTCATACTTGCTACAGGACTGAATAACTCTTCTATGTGTTCTTTTGGTTGTTTAAAACCTCTTACCACTAATATGGCTTTATAAGTTTCGGCGTCCTTGATCTTGAATACCCATTTCTTACTCATTATCTTTTGTTCCTTAATTTCTTCGCTTTTTACTAATACCTTTGTTGAAACACGATTTTCTCCTTCTATTGTTCCTTTTGCTTCTGCCATTATTGTTTCATTTTTTTTGCTATATCTCTACTTTCCAATTTTGAAAAGCTCTATTTGTTTCAGTTTCTTTCTTTTTAAAATAACAATCCTTTTCAGCGTGATTGTATTCTTGCAAATTCCACATTTGTCTTTCTGTTGTTCTTTTCCACTAGCGAGTGAAAAAGAACAACAGAAAGCAAGTTTTTTTCTTTATCTTTTAATAATTCTTCTTCTTTTATTAATCTTGATATCAAGTTTGTTAAGGTTCTTTCATTTATAGATGTAGACTCCCATGTGGTTCTGAAGAATCTGTAATTATTTGGTAAGGTTGTTAATCTTTGGCATTAACATGTCTTCATCAATTTTTTGATTCAATGCTTTCAAAAGAACAGCAAAATTTTCTAATTTTCCAATATTTATCATCATATCGTTTTCCTTTTTGTAGGCATGTAAAATTATAAAACTCCTGTAGAAGATTACACTTTTGCATCTCATCATCCCTTTATTCGCATATTCTAGGCCCATGACCGGTTGGGTTACATTTTTTATTAAGCTTTCAATGGAATGTTGCTGTGTTCAATAGAATGTAACAATTGAGTAGTGTTTTGTTATATTTACATTGTAATTCAATCTACTTTGCTTTTGTTTATACAACTAAAACTCAAACTTATGTTAAGTTTTTCTTATCTTAAGTTTTTTTAATTTATGTTTGTTCCTGGTATTCGGGTTGAACTTGGTTTAGTTCCTCAAATTTATCGATTCTTCTGAATAAACTGAGTAATAGACTGCCTAAGTCTGACGTCACAGAGATGGGCGGAGCTTATACTGACTCCAAACAATTTCGTTGCTAACCACAGTTGCTAAGATAATTCGCCAAAAAATGTCATTTGAAATGTCATCACTTAGTTTATTTTATTTTAACACTAATGGAAAATTGCATATGGTGATTTACCGTTAGCAACGAAAATGTTTGGAGTCAGTATAAGCTCCGCCCATCTCTGTGACGTCAGGCTTAGGTTGTCTATAGACAACCTAAGTCTTGACATCTTCGTTGCTAACTGTGTTGCTAACGATAAATCCCCATATGCAATTTTTCAATTAATGTTAAAATAAAATAAACTAAGTGACATGTTTAAAAAAAATATTCAGTGGCTAAATTTTTTTTATAAGAATCATCATAATAATCAATAATATTTGAACCGCATTCTGCATCACTTGACTAAGCGACAAATAATAATAATAATAACTTTATTATCATAAATTTAATCACTAAAACTAGAGACAAAATGATGACGATTTGTGTAAAAATTTTTGAAGAAAATAATCTAGAGTTTGATTTTGTACTTTTAAACTGGTTTTTATTTTATATAGAATTTAAGTCTAACCAGTTTCGGCCCTTGGCCATCTTCAGAGACTCTACAAATAGATTAACATCTCTCATCTTATCCATTTTACAAACAAGTTTCTTAATATTTCTTTTTGTTTTGTTAAAAAAGATCACATATCAATGTCGAAATCAGATTATTAGTTACTAATTTACAAAATTAAAGTTTAAAAAGTTGTAAAATAAAACTAAGGACGAAGTGTTACAAGTTTACAGATTAAAATTTAAGAACGCTCTTTTTTAACGAAAGAAATATTAAGAAACTTGGGAAAAATTCAAGAATCATCATGTGGCTTAAAAATCGACGACTTTTTTTAATCAATGTGAAATGACCCAAAAAACACGTTAAAAATATAAAGAAAGTGCGGAAAAGTGACTAA